ACCAACAATGCTGACATGTGCACGTGCACTCAACAGTAGGAGGAGTATGGAGTGCATGATACTCTCCTGTATTTAAACTGACGAACTGTTTTCGTAGCACAGAGATATTTACTTTCCTCAGGGCTCTTCCCTCGGTTTCAAATGTTTTTCAACAAAGCTCAATGTTCCCCAGTGATATATATCTACAATTGTGAGATCATTAATATTTAACGAGACAAAAATATAGGACCGGAAGACACAACGTTGCCACATGCATCACATGGTGTGTTCTACTTGTAGGCAGACACATAATCCGAATCATTTCTCAACACAGTCTATACCAAATGTACTACAAAGCACTTTTAAATCATATTTTTGATCAATGTCCAGTTATGTGTCTTCATAAATGTAAGCACATATGAACCAAGTACTTATATAAGCATCAGTTTAAAAAAATGTTTTGGAAAAAATGACAACAGCCTCATACAATGTTACGGCAGACATTTGAAATACTAAATATTAGATGTTGGCACTTTCTTCTTACAATATGCCTTATTTATTTGTTATTATTGTTTTTATCTTATGTTATTTTTACGTGATTTATTTCAGATTTGAAATGCCTCACTGCATTCCTTCAAAGTGCTGTATTAATAAAGTTATTACTGCATGTATTTTTATATTAATATAAGAGCTTGTTTTTGCCCTAGAGGAATTCTGCACTTCAAAAGGAAGCAGACAACTAACAGAAACGCTACAAGTGACGGCTGATTTTCTCTGACATGTTTTCATCCCTCTCCAGTCTGGTGCTGCTAATCGGACCTGATCTGGAGGGAGTCGCCATCATGTTTGTTCCTGGGCTGTGAAGGATTCTGAGCAGAAGTCCTGGCGTCTGAAAGTGACAACAGTTGTGACGGAGTGAGATAAACAGCAGCGAGGGGAGGTGAGAAGTGAGGCTGGAAAAACAAAACAACAGTCTAGCTTTTGGGGAATTTCTGAATGACAGGTTTTCTATTTAGAGAGGAGAACACGCAAAGTGAGTCGGGTTAAAAACAAGGGGTCTCACTTTAAATAAGACACCGTTAGAAAATCAATTTTTACAGCAAGGGAAGCCAATACTGCCATTGGCCAGGCTGGAAAAGTATTTATACTCCACTTCAACTGTAGCTGTAAAGGGTTTTGTGGCTTGTTGAGCAATTTGTGTTGATAAATATATTCTTTGAACTAGAAATCAAGAACAATTTATTCAACCTTACTATTTAGCGTTGTAAGAATTTGAAAAGGAAGCATAGCAGCACGAACCAACCTGTAGCTTCAAACAAATATCTGCCACAGCTGCTACAAAAAAATCTAATTGAAATATTAAAAGACTTATTATAAATCAGTGGTCGGTGGTCTGACCATTCATTTCTATTGTCTCTAATCACACACACCCTGGGGGGTTTACAACAAAGGAGGACGGGGGGTCTGCCCTTCTTTGGGGTCGATACCCAATTAGCGCAATCAATGCAGATCCTGATTCTTTGATAGTAATGCGGCAGCAGAGCAAGGCTCCTCATGTCCCGTCTAATATAAAATCAATTAACACACGCCTGAATCCGTCGTGCTGCAGTGAAATGGAACTGTACTCAAACGTGAGGCCTCTAGCCGCTGCAAATCACTCTGTTAAATCTTTGCACTACTCATGAGAGAAAATATTGTAAGAAACAATCTAATTTATAATAAATGAGGTTGTGTTAGTCTTAGTAAGGTTATAAATAATACTGGTAAACGGAGGAGTGTGAAGTGAAGCTTAGGAGCCTTGGGAAAATACAGAAAAGGTCTTCAGTCTTTTTTATTGTGGGAAATTGGTTATGGTTTTGTCCACAATCAATAGAAGACCATTTATCTGTGAGCTGCGCTGTTTTGTTACTTTGCTTCTTGACTATACTGTCCATCTGATGAAGCGGATCTGGAGATGTGCACGCAGCTACTTTCCAGAGAGATGCAAGTCACAGATGGTTGGAAATAATTAAAATTACTTTTAATGTTGTCATAGGTTTCCTTTTTATCAATGAATAATTTCTTTTGATTTAAGCTATGAAAATAAAATATGGAAGAAATGTAAACTGAGGGGAAATGGGTGCTATTTATTCAGCTTCTTGTGCTCAATGCGCCAAATACTTCAAAAATCAACAAAAAATGTCTTAATCCAAAAACTATAACCTTCAGATAACACAGACCATAACTAATCAAGATAAATAAATAGCTCTACAAGTACGAGGATACATTTGTATTTTGTATATTCTCCTAACTATGTTATCCCTAAGCTCACACCAAACCAAGTCCAGGAATTTCAGTAACAACTCAGAATGATAGCTCCACTACCTTTTGCTTAACATGCACAGAGTTCATAATTAATACCAATCAACAACATCATGCTGCCCACTTTAGGAATCGTAGAGGCAGGTTTGCTACAGAGCTGCAGTCGATAAACGTTAGGGGTCGACCGATTATCGGCCTGGCCGATTATCGAGGCCGATATTCCGCATTTTACAGATTATCGGTATCGGCTTTTTTTTAAATCAAATTGCCGATACAACTTTGGCTCTGATGCGGCCGTTTCTCTGGCTGCAGTCACCACTGTTCACGAGCAAAGTCCCGCCCACAGCGCTATCTGATAGGCTATTACTGAAGTGTCAATCAACACTGAAGATTTTCCGGGCTGCAGCCAGCCAGAGAGGCGGGACCTTCTCAGATTACAGGCAGGTACGAAGAACACAGACAGAGGCAAGCAGCAGCAGTGAGGGGTGTTTCGAAGGTAAATCAGTTGAAAGCCGAAGTTCAATAAACATCCCAATCCCCTATGCTGAAGTTGCAAAAACACCACGATTTTATGATCCAATTCTATCAGTTTCCCAGTTACAAAGGGACCGGGGGGGGGGGGGGGGGGGGGGGGGGGGCCTCGCAGCAACTCTGCTTTCTGCACCACAATCTGGTGCTGCTGAATTGGGACTAGAGTGAGACTCAAATATCAGAAGTTCAGAACATGTTTTAGTAGTTTTTATTTTAACTTCATTTACTTTACTCAGAGTCACAGAGAGGAAACCAGTTTTAAGATGTTGAAAAGTTCATTAAACATAAAAAGGCATTTCAAAGAAGTTCTGTTATTCTACATTTTGACATCAAGATTTTCTGATTTTACTGCAAATGTATATCGGTTCCAAATATCGGTTATCGGTCTCCTTGATTACTAATAATCGTTATCGGCCGTGAAAAAGCCATATCGGTCGATCCCTAATATGCGTTAATTCATAAAAGCTGCACCCCGTACGTCACACACACTCTGAATCTCACCAACACCGACCTCCATGAAAAACTGTAGCCTCCTCTTTGTGGAGGTTATCATGGACTGACCCACAGAGCGATCTAAAGAGGGGCTGATCGCGGCTAAAAATGTCACAGCCATCCTCTCTGACCCGTCTCACTTCCTGTTTAACAGCTTCACACCGCAGCCATCTGATCAGTCTCAAACACTGAGTTAGAAACCTATTAACAGCTTTTATTGTGGAACAACAGTTTTGAGTTTACTGCTGAGCTAAATCCTAATGGAATAATATGTATATTCATTGTCCTTACAACTGAAGTGTTGCCTTGAAAAAGCCTTTAGATTTTCCAACTCTGCATGTGTGTAGTTTTCCTCCCCATTACCTAATAGGAAAGTTAGGAACAAGTTTTGAATAGAGTACAAAGGCATATTTATTTTCTGATCACATGTTGAGTGACAGACTCTTTCCTGCAGAAAAATTAAATGTCTCTTTGATCGAACGTCTGGATTTTGACATCTGTCACAAAGGTTACCGTCACTAGTCTCTACACACTCTTCAATCTGGACCTGAACAATCACTTTAGTTTGAGTTTTGCTCGTCAAAGTTGTAACTTCTGTCATTCTCCTCAACCTCTGTCTGAACTATCTTATAAAAACTGCGTCTTCCACCCTGCTCGCTCCTGGACTGATAGTAGCTTGCTAGGACAGCCGACATCTTGGAGTATTTCTGCTGATTGCATCTTCACATATGTTGAACATTATTTCCAACCTGCTGATTCTGAATAATTGTCCTACTTAGATGCCAATATCCCCGGGAACATTTAACAGCTAATTTACATCCTCTCACTAAGAGACTGATACATTCCTGTGCCCCTGATTTATTTGAGTGCAAAGCAAATGTAACTCCTTTATTTTATACAGCCGCCTCCCTGTTGGACAACAAACTAATGGCACAAGCTTCTGAAATGTGTGAGGTCTTTTTTTGCTCTCTAATAGTACAGTATGGGCCCTCAGTGCCTTTCAGCGGGCTCACTCTCCAACATCTTACGACAAAGTCAATCCGTCATGTCTGTGGGGAGAGGCCAACCAGTGGCTGGAGGGATCAGAAACGCAGTTTGTGTCCCCTTAATAAAGTGTTAATATCTCCGTACTCCCCAATGTGTCATCAACTGTGACTCTGATCAAATCATATCCTGCTGATGATGCCTTTTCTTCAGGGGACCTTCAACACAATTAATGCAATAAATGAGTACACACTTGTTCACGTTTGATTTTGAAGCTATTTTGCTGTCATTTGTACATTTTCTTTATTTTTTAGCTTGCATAACTACAAATGCGCTATAAAAGTGCATTTATTCTGCATTAGTTCTGGTCTGTACTTTGGAACACAAATCAAAAGCATTCACTCATCTCAAGCAATATTATAAAATGGTTAATGTTAGCATGGCATCTGCTCATGTTTTTTTTTAAAGAAAAAGGGCTAAATATGTTCTGCAAAGGCAAAGATATCCTGACCTTTAGTTCACAATATAAAGGTCAGGCCCCAAACACTTCCCATAATGCAACAGCTTTTCATTAGAGGCTTGCTGTCTAGTGGATTCTCATGTCTTTCCATATCTGCCATCTGTTAGAAATGGTCTTAATCTGTAAATCGTGCAGAGTTCCCCCCTGAAGTTCTGGTCTAGAAATGGTACTCTGTGTAGTATGCGTTGTGCACCTCAAACTCCTCAGCGATCTTGGGTCCGTCCAGGAACAGCCGGGTGCTGAGACAGTCCACTGGACCAAAGTTAGCTGGGGAATAGAAACAGAGACCAACTTAACATCAGCGGCAAAGAAGACAAAGACCCAAAAGGAAAATCTTAATTGGTTAACGACGTCTCAAACGCCATGTCTGTTCTTTTACACTGTACACAATATTGACATTAGCTCTACAGGAAATCACTGAATTCCCAAAGGGTTTAGTTTCTTATAATTATTATTATATTTTGAAACGGTATTAGAAAAGACTTTAGAGGTTAAGATTTGTTTCAAGGTTATGTTCAGACTGAAGCCGAGCAGTTCAGGAACGTCTACACTATTAAAGCGTCTCATTAAAAGGTAACGTAACGCTGACATTTCCTGACTCCTTGAAGCAACAATTAAGCTGGTTTTAATCCAGGCAGCTGAATGGAACTGTTACGGCTTTAAACAACTTCCAGTAAAGTTTGAAATTCCACTCCTGAAGAAGGATTTCTATTAAACTTTCAACATCACAGGCTTCTCTGCCTCCTGCTGCTGCTGCTGGCTGCGTGTACTTCACACCTGCTTAAAAATGCTGTTACTGGTTATGCTGATTTCCCCCCCAGCACCACTTCTTACTGTTCTGGTTTCTTATGAGCATTATTCAAATGCTCCATCTGAGACAGGTGTTGTTACGGCTTTGGGGCTCAACTGCACTCTCGCCTGAATCTGAAGCATCTGATTGTTCTCCTGAAAGTAAAACTACAAATAAAACATTTTCTACCTGATGGCTAACCTTGGATGTGCCTTAATACCGGTTGGCTGCTTATTCCAAGCCTCAGGAAGTACCTCAGAGTACAGGTTAGAATGAGCAGGGAGACCCAGACCAAAAGCCATGAACCCAATCTGGTTTATAATTACAGATCTAATTTGATTAAATGAACAATAACTAAAAGATTAAACATGAACTTGAAGATAATGGCTGTGATAACTATCAAGTCTGCCCACTCACCTGTAAATTCCTTAAACTCCTGGAACACTTTGGGGTACATGGCTGCTGACATCACATCCTCGGGGGTGATCTCATCGTTGTGTGCCGCCCGCAGACCCTCCTCCAGGGACTTGAAGTCCAGGGGGGGCAGAGAGGCGCCGGGGCGACCCTCAATGCGAGGGAGATTCTTCAGCACCTGGGATAGAAGAGAAGAGAGCACAGGGGAGCAGAGGATTAGTTTCTCTGCATGGAATAATCTACAGACTGACTTTAAACTTCAAAGCATGCTTACATTTATATATTTTAAGCCGAAATAGATATGGATGTTCTTTTGATTTTTTCTCTCCCACAGTTGCGTCGTTGTTTTCTGAACCACCTGCCTTGAGAAGTACGAAGACAACAATGCTTGTTGATGCAGGTTGAACAGAAAGAGAGAATGCTATAGTTACGTGAAACACAAGCTGTGTCTGGACTAGCATAAATCAATGACAGGACATGGCTCACAAAAACATTAACAAACACTGGCTTGTTGCAGCAAATCAATAAAAGTTCTGTCCATAAACTTGATCCATGTCTCAAACAATGCCATGTGACCTTGATTTTGAGGGAATTGAAACTCTATATTGTTGCTGTTCTTAGCTAGGTGTCCTTTGTAAAATGGTTCCTTAATCTGAATGGGACTAACCAGGTGAAATACAGGCTAAGAGTTGCGTTTGAGGGGGCTACAGGAAGGGGAAACAAACATCATGTAACATTTTTATTCCAAGTCTTGCAGAATGCTTTCTCAGTCGTTGTATCCCCACAGCACTTGAAAGCATGTGGGATGTATAAAACCTCACATTGTACTTCACCACTGGATAAAAGCTGCTGACAGGGTGAGAGGGGGAAGATGGAGATGCACGCGGAAGTGCTACAAGATGGAGAAAGGGAGGGAGAGAAACTATAGGTTACTTACGTAACCCCAGTTCTCAGAGTAACATGAAGTGAGATGTCTCACTACTGTATGGGATGCACCTCAACACGTATGCCAACAGAAGCATCAATCTCATTACGCCAATCCTGATTGGCTGGTGATCTTGACGTCTACGTCAGGGAATCCACCCACCCTTTAAGTAGCTTGCGCTACGACGCAGCGTCATTCAAAATAAGCACCTCTTCTCGCTTTGCCTTAGCAAGAAGGGCCGTCTGGTGAGACATCTCACTTCACCTATAGTTCTCATTCATAACACTCCGTTCGATGTCTCACTATGGGATATTGAAACTCCCGTATTGCTAGACATGCTTATCTCGAAAATCACCAAAACAACCAGAACTTAACAGGTAGAACCCTGTCTCAACACGGGGCCCAGCACTGCACGGGCCACACTTGGAGCAGAGACATCTAGCCTGTAAAAGCGGACAAAAGTGAGCGGTGAGGACCAGCTCGCTGCTGCACAAATGTCTTGGATGGAAACACCCTTGAACAAAGCCCAGGATGTAGCCAGTCCACGAGTAGAATGAGCACGCAGGCCCGTTGGTGCCTGCAAACCCTGACTCGTATAAGCCAGAGCAATCGCTTCCACAATCCAGTGGGAGAGCAGTTGCCTGGTAACAGGCTTGCCCTTATGAGGGTTAGTTGGGAGCCCCAGCTTGACACAGCGCGGGGCTCCGCTCTCGCGGCTCTTGCCGCCACCGGGCCCCAGCCTGACACGGCGCGGGGCTCCGATTCCGCGGCTACCGCCGTTGTTGAGCCCCAGCCTGACACAGCGCGGGGCTCAATCTCCGCGGCGGTCGCCACCATGTCCCGATTGCCGGCCGGCGAATCAACGGACATGAAGGGGTCCTGTCCCGACAGGCTAGCTTGGCGCACTAGCCGTCGGCGGAGGCTCTTGATGGTGAAGCGGGCACAATGCCCGCACGAAACGGGGGTATCGATAGCTTCCTGGGCGTGTTCCAGCCCAAGGCAGGACGAGCAGACCTGGTGTGAGTCCGTGCTCGAGATCTTAAACCCGCAGCCGCAGAGCCGAGCCTCCGACTCCTCTGGTGTGAGGGAGAGAAGGGTCCATCCTCGTTTGCCGGGGTGTCGGCGCGGAGGGACAAGCTAGTAACAGGTATGTTACCGAGAAAAGAAATCCAACTGTTGAGATATAACATTGACATGTATAGTGTATGACTCCATGTATTACTGTGTACTAGGGCTGTGCGATTATGGCAAAAATCATAATCACGATTATTTGGGTCAATAATTGATATCACGATTATTTTGACGATTATTCATTGACCATTTATTGAACTTTAAAACAAATAATATTTTACCAATAAACAAGATCAACAAATATGTTGGAGCGCACTTCCAAAACCATACTAAACATATATTATTAATATGATAAATAAAAATAAATTAGACCAAAATAAATGAAATCAAATATGATGCAGTGCACTGTCACAACCTACTGAAAACTCCTTAACATATAGCCAACATTTTGGTAAAACATATTCAACATATTCCACTCAGTTAAACGTTGAAGGCTGGCCAACCGTCATGGTCCAGAAGTAACAGGAAATAAATGTTGAACTACAATTTAAGACCAAATAAAAATGTTTTGGCCACCATGGCAAATGCTGGTAGGGCTGCTCATGTCATCTCTTAAAGATGCTTTTCAAGAAACACCAGGCTGTTTACATGGTCTGGTTTCAGAGATGAGCGCAGGCAGGTGACAATATTGCCACCTGTACTGAATACCCTCAACCACGCCCCAACACATGGGGTGACGCCGGCCAATCACAAAGCTTTTATGCGTTCAAGTGCATTATTCTGACACAGGAAGATTATGTTACAGGACATTAACGATAAAACAGAATATTGTTGTTCTATTTTTAGACACATCTCGCGATCGACTGGTTGGGCACCCCTTGGCTAGACCATAGGTCTGTTGTGGTCGCAAAGTAGTCAGCTGAAGCCACATCTCTCTCAACTTCCCCACGGCATTTGTCATATAGCGCAGGCAGCGCAGACCTGCTGAAATAATACCGAGACGGCATCGCGTAACGCTTGACCAACGTGTTGACAAGTTGCTTAAAGCCCTGGTTGCTAACAGTGCTAACTGGGCACATATCTTTAGCGATGTGAAATGTAATGGCAAAGTACTTGCAAATAGTGGAAATAGTTTGACCCTTCTTTTTAACGAGTTGCTGCTCTTGTTCTGACATCTTCGCTCGCGCTGAACACTCACAACACATGTCACTCCCACGTGGCCGAGTGGGCTTTTAGGGAGGGGCGAAAGCGCACCCAGCAAAATAATCGTATTTTGTCAATTATGCTGTTTTCATAATCGTCGCAAGCCATAATCGTAATCGCGATTAAAATACGATTAATTGCACAGCCCTACTGTGTACCATATATTGCTTATGTAAGTAGCTGCGACTACTAACTGTGTTCATTGGTTAGGGCTGTACCACATGATTGTGATGTCACTACCTGGGGTATAAGACCGTTGGAAGTCACGCCCCTTCTCTCTCTGTCCTCAAGCCTCTTGAGATGTGTGCCTATAATAAATAACGCCGTGATGAATGGCTAAACTTGAACTGCTAAGATTATTCCCCTTTCTGCTGCAGGAGACAAAAGGTTTAAGTCTAAATCTGCTAACAGGTTATGGGCCCAGATGCGATGAATTATTCTACAGTTCGAAGCGCACGTGCGATAACAAGGCGAGAAGATTGCCTGTTAGCACGGTTAGCATAGGAGTAGCTAGTTAGCCACGTGTTAAGCTAGTTTAGCATCGGGAGAACCGAGGGAAGCTAAAGCTAAGCTAACGAGGACCTAAGCTAAGCTACTGAAGCTACAAACGAAAAAGCCATGGCAAATAGAACCACGAGGAAGAGCAAGTGGCCCACGTTTGACGGGAAAGCAGAAGAGTATGAGCTCTGGGAAGAGAGGATGCTGTGTTGCATGCACGGAGTGGGATTGAAGGAGACCATCCTTCGAGCACCCGCTGGAGAGCTGACCGCGGCACTGAGGGCTCAAGACGACAAGCTCAATGCTGACGCCTATTGTGAGTTAGCGCCGCTACTTGACAATACCAGTTTAGGCCTGATATTCAGAGACACGAAGGACAAGGGCCGAGAAAGTCTCAGAAAGTCTCAGAATATTAAGGGAGCACTATATTGGAAAAGGCAGACCCAGGATCGTCACCTTGTATAACCATGACTGCGCTGAAGAAAGCTGATAATGAGACGGTAACAGAGTACATTATCCGAGCTGAGCAGATCATTACGGCACTCAGGAGCGCGGGAGAAGCACCGAGTGAGGGACTAATGATGGCGATGGTTATGCGGGGATTACCCGAAAAATACAAGCCGTTCACTCTAATGGTGACACACGGTGACAGTGAAGTAACGTTGGGACAGTTCAAGGCGAAGTTGAGGAACTTCGAGGCCTCAGAGGAGACGAGCGAGAGGGTGCTGAGGGTCTAAGCAGCAACAAAGAGAAAGCCCGCCAAACGATTCATCCCCGATGGCGGCGGAGAACACGTCGGCACATGTTGGCGATGCGGAGAGAAAGGCCATCGAAAAGATGACTGTAGAAAGAAAGTCTGGTGTAAGGGGCAAGCAAGGGGCACACAGACAAAGCGTGCTCAAAGAAGGACCGCGGTGATGCCGCTCGGTGCGCGAGCATGCCAGGTGGTACCGGAGAAGCTGCGGGAGGAGGTGACTACACCCTCAAAGTGCGAGCTGAAGAGACCAGCCTACAGAGACAACAACTACAGACCCACAGAAAAGGATTGATCGTGGACACGGGAGCGTCGTCTCACATCATCAACGATAAGAAGAAATTCAAGATTTTTGACAGCACCTTCAAGCCGGAGAGACACAGCATGGAATTGGCAGACAGGAGGCTGACGGCTGTGTGAAAGTATCACAAAAGAGATACGTGGAAAAGATACTGGAACGTTTTGACATGCAGGAGTGTAGGATAAGGGACACACCTTGTGACCAAAAGTTAGATTACAATGAAGATGCACCTAAAATGGTGGATGTGAAGAAATACAGAGAGGCTGTTGGCAGCCTAATTTATTTGACTACCTGTACACGTCCAGACCTATGTTTCGTGGTAAGCAAGTTATCACAATATTTTGCTGAACCGACAGATGAACATTGGGTTACAGTAAAACACGTTTTGCGTTATCTCAGGGGTACTGCAGACAAACAGCTTTGTTT